TAAATATTTACATATACCAAATTTGTAAATTTTGGAAACTCTTTTAATTAAGTAATATAGTTGGTGGACCTAATTTAATAGGTTACAACTACTGATTCTTGTATTACCATTTTATTTTTAATTTTTTTTCACTCAATTCGGAATAAAAGCTTAACAAACAAATAAACTAAAAACTAAATGCATAAAAAACAAAAATCATAGAGAGCTTTATTTTTTTATTTATATGAAAAATAAACGAATATTTTATTTTTTTAAAATTTTATATTTTATGAATTTATACTATTTTATTATTGTATGTTTTTAAAAATTACATTAATCATTCACATTTATTTAAAACCCATTTAAATTCGAAGTTAAATTAAAAATAGTTATAAATAAATAAATAAATATTTTAAAAAATGTTGTTTTTTCGATCCTTTTGAAAGTGTTTTTTTCAAGTATTATTTATAATTTTTTTAAAAAATAAATATAAAATAATCACAATATTTAATAAGTTAATTTTTAAAAAAATTAAATTATTAAATAGTGTGATTATTTTATTTATATTTGTTAAATTAAAAAATAAACCATTATAATTGTGTTTTCTTTTAAATAATATATTTTATGCTTAACAATAACATGTTAATGAATAAAAAAAAAGATTGCTAGTGGTCTAATATTGATAAATGAGTTCTTATACGAATGCGAGTACTAACAAATCATTAACATTCTTTACCAATATTTGATATTGGGCGATAATATGAAATATATTTTTATACGTATCATATTTTATATTTTATTATAAGACAAATATGGGAGTTATCGAGATATTTCTTCTTATTTATTATATTTTTATTTATTGCTTTCTTTCTAATTTATTTAATTATAAATAGATAATTTTCACATTATTTAAGTGGGTGAACTAAGCAAACATTCTTACAAATCAACTTACTTAAATGACTTATTGAACTTAGTTTACCTTGTTTTTGATTCTCGGACCCTTTGATTGAATGATCCAGCTTAGTTTTTTTTATAAAAAAAAGATTGAAGCTTGAAAATTGTGCTAAAATAGAAAGAAAAATTCAAATACACTCTTCTAACCAACCCTTTTATTCTTATTTTTTATATTTATATATAAAAAATAATATATAAAAAAAAAAAAAAAAAAAAAAAAAGTTGGCAGCAAAGAAAACGAGCAGCCCAAGGTACAGACAAACATCTCGCATTCCATTCCAACCTTTCTACAAAATCAAAAACCCAATCCTCGAACCAAGAAAAAGAAAAGTTGAAATTACCCGTAGATTGATAAATTAAAATTTATCAATTTATTAAATATAAAATAAAAAATTTATGAAACATTAGAGATTGGCTGTTTAATTTGTTAAACTCAAAAAACTCTGATTTTTTTTTTTTTTTTTTTTTTTCATTTTGTTTGTCAGAACTTGAACATAGCTCGTATGCACCATCAAACAAGAGGTTAGGATCGAATTTGAACATAGCTCGTATGTATCATTAAACAAGAGGTCAGGATTGAATCTGAATATAGCTCGTATGCACAATCAAACAAGAAGTTAGGGTTGAATCTGAACCTAGCTCGTATGCACAATCAAACAAGAAGTTAGGGTTGAATCTGAATATAGCTCATATGCACTGTCAAACAAGAGGTCAGGATGGAATCTGAACATAACTCATATGCATGGTCAAACAAGAGGTCAAGATCAAATCTGAACATAACTCGTATGCATAGTCAAAGAAGAAGTCGGGATCGAATATGAACATAGTTCCTATGCATAGTCAAACAAAAGCTCATGATTGAATATGAACATAGCTCGTATGCACTGTTAAACAAGAGGTCGGGATCAAACCTTAACAAAGTTGAACTCAATTTGAATGATTAACAATACTGAATACTGTCTACTGTACTGAAACTTCCAAAGTCTTATCCAAGCCCTGAAATGAAATTTCGTGGATCTTAAAAAAGAAGACTTTGGAATACCTTTTTTCTTATTTGCACTTGACATAAGCCAAAGGCATCTATTAAAATAAAAAAGTCTAATGTGTAGGAAATGGCCGGTATCGCTCAGTTGGTAGAGCAGGGGACTGAAAATCTTCGTGTCACCGGTTCAAATCTGCTATTGACAATAAGGATAATGTGTAGGAAATGGCCGGTATCGTTCAGTTAGTAGAGCAGGGGACTCAAAATCTTCGTCTCACGGGTTTGCTATGAAAATAAATACGTCTAATGTGTCGGAAAGGAAATGGCCGGTATAGCTCAGTTAGTAGAGCAGAGGACTCAAAATCTTCCTGTTACCGGTTCAAATCCGCTATTGAAAATACGTCTAATGTGTCGGAAAGGAAATGGCCGGTATAGCTCAGTTAGTAGAGCAGGGGACTGAAAATCCTCGTATTACCGGTTCAAATCTGGTATGAAAATAAGTCTAATGTGTCGGAAATGGCCGGGATAGCTCAGTTGGTAGAGCAGAGGACTGAAAATCCTCGTGTCACCAGTTCAAATCTGGTTCTTGGCACATCATGAATTTGTATGCGTATCTATTCTACAGATTCATTAATAAAATAGATTATGAAAAATACCGATACATCATGATGTCTGGAAATATACCCTTTAACTAAACTATATATATTTTTTACTCTATTTATAGATGAGTAAAATACACAAGTAAAGATAAAGAGGATACATATATAAATATGTAAAGGATGGATATAGATATGTAAAAGAAAAGAATTTTATTTTGTTTCCTCTTCTTTTTTATTTGTTCATACTCTGTCTCCTCACGTTCAATTAATACTTTATACATATTTGAAAGGTTCAATTAGTTCGTTATAAGACCCAAAAGTCTAGTCTAGGGGAGTTGAAAGGCGGGAATGGCCAAGATTCATCTCCGATACAGTACAAATAGAATCCGATTCTCTTTTCATGTATTTTGATTTTTCCTCTTTTCATATTAGATTTCTTCATTTCCCCCTACGTGACTTTCTAAAGCACATCTAAGTGATATGCGTGATACATAGTTCATAATGTAG